AGAGATATCATGGGTCTACTATGCTTTTATTTCTAAAGAATGTGGTTGAGGTCTTGATCTAACGCAATTGAGAAGGTGTGAGTGGAGGCAGGAAATTATCCCAAGATATCACTTGGAGAAGTGATTCTTTGGTAATTTGTGTGAATCTTTAAATGTACGAGAAACATTTGATGACTTACCCCTTTGTCAATGCTGCCGGTCTGGCACAGGGTCCCCTCTGCAGCAGGGATACTGTTAGTTACACAGCGGTTGCTTTTGCTAAGGCACCAGAGCTCTCTACACACTTCCTAGGAAAGAAGGCAAAAGCAAGTTGGTCAGAATAAATCAATTCAGCAGACTGGGGGGTGGATTGCTGAATAAGGGTGAGAATGATTTATCAGTAGCTTTTGGTGGTTTTCCTCTTGTTGTTTTTCTTCTGCGCTCTGACAGCTGTGAGAGAAAAAAATGAACACAAACATCACGGAAATTCGTCTATAAATCTGCGCGATTCCAGATCAAATCAGAGGATGAGAGGAGTTGATGAGACCGCATCGAGACCGCAGAAACACATCCAGCTTCGAGAACCCATATGCTTTGCATCACAGTGCATCTTGAGCAATACGCCAAGGGTCATTGGGTGCTGTTAATGTTCTATTATGAGAAATGAAGAGTCAGCTGGATCAACACCATGACTAACGTTTGCTCACGTTCACCTCAGGACCACACGGGACCGTGACATCAGTTCAAGAAATCCAATTTCTGCTTCTTAGGGGAAATCAAGAGTGAGCAATAGGCCCCCCAAGTCTTAGATAAAGACGACTTGTAGGCCTAACAAATATCTTTAGTATTACTGAGTGGTCTGAATAAACATCTCCGTCTTCTCCCTCCTCACTCCTCAGTCTGGAACATAAGGAGAATCCATTTAGATTTAGATTACTAAAGGAAGGGAGTGTGTGTGTGTGTTCATTCTCGCGTCGCTCTCTTTCGTTTCCTCAATCTATCGTCAATTACTCTCTCCTCACAACAACACACAACGCTACACACACACACTCCCTTCCTTTATGTAATCTAAATCTAACATGGGCATTCTCCTTATGTTCCAGACTGAGGAGTGGGAGGGAGGGGAGGATAGGGACGGAGATAGTTTATTCAGACCACTCGACAAGATTACTCTCACTAACAGATATTGGGTATGGCTTCTTACTATTGGCAGTCCGGAGTTCTTTTCTGCAATAATCTTGATAAGCCTTTTAATTTTGGCTCTTATTTTGTATGTGTGGCGACCTGATTTGCGCCATTTCTCTGGCCATCATTGATTTCCCCCTTAAAGAAGCAGAAATTGGATTATTCGGTTGAAACTGAGTGGTCGACGGATGTGGTCGGGTCTCCGTGCTGTGGGCGCCCTCGAGAGACGTTGGACGCTGTAGACAAAACGTTTATGTCACACTTCCGGGTTAAGTTTGGATTTCCAACATGACTCTTCATTTCTCATAATAAAGAACATTAACCAGCACCCCCAAATGAACCTCCGCCGCGTTGGTCGTCTCTACTGGGCTCTGAAAACAAGGCTTTTTCATTTTAAAGCTGGCATTCCCTCTTCCCAAGGACGATATTGCTCAAGGTGCACTATCTCTTCTCTATATTGCCTCCTCCCCATCCCGTTGGTGTTTA